CTAACTGCTGCTCCCAAGACACAGATCCAGAGGCTGCATCAGAGAAAGATAGAGCCTGGGCACCAGCCGGGCAGTGAGTTAGACAAGCACTGCTGTGGTAGCATCTGACATCCTTCTCCTTTCGGGCCTCCTTCTCTTGCAGCCCTACAGGAAAACAGCCATTCCTTACACCTATGCTTCTTTATTGCTGGAAGAGGAGCCCAACCTGGTTTGCATGATTATCAGATGGGCTGTTGGCAACCACTCCTCCTGTGCTTGGCAGTCACTCGCTTTGGTGCTTTGGCTGGAGGGCCCTGCTGGGGAGTGGGAGATAGCCTTCACCGCGGGGCGGGGGGGCGGTTGAGGAGGTGGAGGTGACTCTTGCTGAGCCTTCCTTCTCCTCGAGGTAGGAGACCTGACCTGGAGAGCCCCTCCTCCTTGCACCTGCAGCTCCCAGGAGATGTGCGCATAGCCCCTCAAGTAGAGGAGGCCCCCGGTGGAGACCCAAGGGAGCGGGCAGCGTGGCGCTGAGGCCTGGCTCAGCTGGTATTACCCCTGGAGCTTTGGACAGCAGCCTGTATAGTCAGAAAGCTCGGATGGGAACTGGCCACTCCCTGGGGGTTCTGAGAGCACAGGCTAAGGGGTCCGAGGTGCACCAGGAGGTAGGACCTGGATGGGTGACCACCGGTGGAGCTGCAGCAAGGAGAGACTAGGCCCAAGGCTCATCAGGGACTCCCTTCTAGTCTTAAAAAGAGGGAGGGAGGATCTTTTAAGAATGGGGTTGGGGGAACAAGCCCTGAGCCCCTCTCTCTGCAGAAAGCCTTAGAGCTCAGACACTTTGCTTCCTTGAAAAGTGACACTGGATCTTGACTTAGATCCTTTTGGTTCTAAGCACTAAGCACCCCCGTGGGAGGTGGTCTGGAACTTTCCAGGGGGTTATGAAGTTGTCCTGTGATGTGATGTGAGGCCATAATAGGCCAAAGTGCCAGCCCGTTCCAAATCTTCCCACTGGTCAGCAGAAGAGCCTGGCCTATGGGGCAAAGGCTTGAAGGTACCATGGTTACCAGGCTCTGGTAGTGTCACCATTCCTGCCTCTGACCCTACTCTGTGAATATTACCCCTTGCCTGGTGCCTGGCTCTTAGGAGGTGCTCAGAACCCTGGGCTCTTTCCTGGCTGGAGGCTCCTCTTGTCTCAACTTCTGGCTCCTGGCTACTTTCCTGGCTGGCCTTCTGGGCTCCTGCTTGGTTCGTCCTCCACTGCCTGTCTCCAGACCCCAACTGTACTCCTGCTTCTCCCCACTTGCTGCCCCGAGCCCACCACTGTGACCCTGGGGCCTCTGAAGAGCTGAATGGGTGAGAGGGGAATGGGTGTGGCCTCAGGAACCAGACCTTCGGGGTCTTAGTCCTGACTTGTGTTGTCCTTGCTTGGTGTCCCCAGGCCTCATTTATCCTGCCTGTAGGTGGGTATGGTGGTAACAGTAGCAACGGAGAACAGGGTTTTGGGGAAAGATTAAGTGACATGGGCAGGTTTCTGGGATGCCCTCTTCTAGACCCTTGATCTCCGAGGGCTGGAGACAGTGACCATGTGATGGATGTGGGGGGCAGGGGAGGGGACGGGGCGTCATGAGCCTGGCAATGCTGCTGGAACCAAAGGAGGAATAAAACACTGCCTGTTCATCCAAAGCCATCCTTTCTTTTCCCTTTAAAGACAGAGTACACTGGAGGAAGTGGAAAGTCGAGGTCACAGTGAGTCTGGTAAGGGGCCTAGTAGAAGAGGGTCAGGCTTTAAGACCTGGAGAAGCCAAAGAGGCTGGACCAGGAGAGAGGAAGAAAGGCTTCGGAGGGAGAGGGTTGCCACCCTTCTAGAGTTCATGGGGACAGGCTGACCTCCAGGTAGTTGCCTGCCTCACCCTGGCCCACTGGCTTATTCTGGAAGGTTCTTCTCCCCTATCTCTTTTTGGTCTCAATACTGAGTTTGTAGGGGAAAGGAAGAGACAGAGCTTCTGCTCTGCGTGGGGCTCTCAGCTCCACCAGGCATCTGAGGCAGGAAACCCGCCCCCCCTCCGCCCCCTTTCTCCCAGATGGCACCCTGCAGGCAGGGGAAGGTGGTGAGGCGGGTGCACCTTTTAGAGGAAGGAATTAGTGGACATGGTCTCGGAACTCCAAGCCGGATAGAAAGTAATGAAAACACAGCGGACACTGTGCAATAGAATACACTTCAACATTACATCAGTTCCTTTGGGACTCCGAATTAAATCAAAGTCTCCCAAACAGAGAAGCAATGGGTGGAGTGATACCATCCAGGTAGCCGAACATGCGGGTGCTGGCCCTGTCCTCTTGATCCACGGGCATCAAAAGAGTCGTGGGGGTGATGCCTTTTTTCCCCCAGAAATGTGGCATCTGATGGTGGCTGCATTTACAGGTCAGGTGCATTTATACCCCAGTCTCCTGTGCAGCGATGGTCTTTGGCAAAAGCCCCTCATCGTGATGCATGCATGTTCCTTGGCCCATGCTCATCACAGATGATGCTTGGAGAGCTTTTCTCATTATTCTTCCTGAGACACTAGCTTAAGGGGGTAGGGTGCATGGGCAAGTGCTCCTGGAAACCGCAAGATGAGTCCAGACCTTGGATACCTTCTAGAGTCATGGCTGCCCCCAAACTTCCTTCTATCAAGACACACGTGTTAGTAGCACCCACACAGACCCTTCTAACACAGCTGTGCCTGGACCACAAGCTTGGGGGTGGATACGAAATGAGACACAGGAAGTGTGGGTTCCCAGTGAGCTAGCTGGGGGTCTACCTCACTTGCCCCCATATGCAAAGCAACAGGAATGGAAGAGTGATTCCATAGGACCAGTAATGAATCTGCATTCCTGTCAGAGGAAGGGACACGACCTGTAAGCCCAGCCACTTGAGGCACCAGAACTATGATTGGTGACTAAGCACTTGCGACGGCCCCCCTGCCCCACAGATTGGTCTGTCCCACCTTTGTTCAGGGGACAGGTTAGCTAGCAGACTCGGCTACACTGTCTGAATGAGAGACATGGTCATTTGGGGTGAAGCCCGAAGGCCACAGGCTCCCCAAACTCTGGGTTCTTGGGGTGGGGTGGGGCACAGGGTGTCCATGGAATTTCCCATGATACAGATGGACCCATGTGAGATTCTGGCTTTGCATATGGAACCACCATGAAGGATGGAGGCTTGTTAGAGAGAGAGAGAGAGAGAGAGAGAGAGAGAGAGAGAGAGATTGCGTGGTGACCAGGGAGGTGGGCCCAGAAACCCCTGTGAGGGGACACAGCTCGAGCCAGTAGTGATTCCGATGTGGGATGCCCTCCCTTCACACCTTACTATCAAGTGCTCTCCCCTGGGCCTCTGGCCTGACTTAGGGCAGCCTCCTGGTGTGTCACCTCAGAACCTCTGGTTGCTACTGGCAGCCCCAGATTCTGGGAACACTCACCTCATGGGTGCTCTCTGCTTGGTGGGTCCCCTTGAAACTCCCTTCCAGTCTAGGACCTCAGTGTGGTCCCTGGAGAGGCTGTACTCTGGCAGGTGGGAAGCAGGCCAAGAGAGGGGACATTGCTGTGCAGCTTCCTAATTGTGTTACACTCCCCACTCATGCCACATGAGTTTCTATATGGCCATTTCTGCTGCTCAAAATGCCTCCCTGCCTCCCTGCTGCCCCCTTTACTAGCTCCTATCTTTCTCTCTGTTCTTAGTTCAGATGACACAGTATCTGGCAATCCCTCTAGTGAGCTGCCCCTTCTGTGTTCCCACACCTGCCACATTTCTCCCACAGAAATGGAAGGGAATCACCCCTTGACCTGGTTGTACTCTCTCACTTTGGAAAGAAGGTGAGAGCAGGAACCTTGTCTGGCCTGTTCCCATCCCAGGGCCTGGCCCAGAGCAGGGCACCCAATTAACGTTTGCTCGTTTGGCGGGTGGGGACAGGGAGAGCAGATAGGATTTTCTTTTCTTTCTTTCTTTTTTTCTTTTTTTTTTTTTTTCAGATAGGATTTTCTAAAACAAATCCTATCTCTGGAAACCCACAGACCATTCAGAGGTGGCGTGCCCTCTTGGTTTTGGTTCTCAATGGAGGCGAAGGAGAGAACAATCCTACATAATGCCTCTGTAGGTCTCTGTCTTGCTGTGCTAGAATTGGGGGTAGAGGCGTGAGTTGAGGGAAAGAGGAAGTTAGGGCAACATGCACTTACTTGTTCATGGCTAATCGTCAAATTCAGAGGGAAGAACCGTCAAGAAGAAGGTGTTAGAAGGTCAAACTGTGGCACCCCCAGCCTTCCCCTCCCACCCCACCCCTAACCCCAAAGTTCTCTGGTGTAAATACTGTCTTAACTGGGATGTAACTTCCTCAGCCCGCTGACTTGCAGAACCTTTCCCAGGGGCATTGCCCTCCACTGTTCGCTCTTTGGGATGTTTCTTACTTGCGACTTGTCTTGTCCCTTGAAATGCAAGTCAGTATCTCATCTGCAAAGTCGGCTGAGGCTGGCGAACCCAGCGAGCCAGAAGCCGGCCTTCCCTGTCTTCTATGAGGGAACTCCATGCATTGGTTTGAGTTCGAGAAAGATGCAAATAGGGAATGCAGCTTGGGCACTCTGACGTGCAAACGTGAGGTTCTCCTTTTGGGGCACAGCCTAGCCCAAGGAATTTCCCAGCATGCATAGCACTTGGCAGAGACAGTTAGATGAGTGATAGCTGGATGCAGGTGCAGGGAATGAGCCACGAAAGTGGGTGACTGTGGCCAGCATCACAGAAGGCGTAGCAATATTCGCAAGACTAAATGAGATGCAGCCAGCAGCATCCCCCAGCGACATGAGGAGCCCTGAGCTCTGTCCCACGGGGAGGAAGAGGAAAGCCTGTCCCAGGAAGAGGCTTTGCTGGCTGTCTTGTGGCTAACCACACCCCCATCAACCACCACCACCAAGAAGATGGGGATGTTGGATGCTATGAGAGCTCCTCCTGGTCAAGGCCACAGGGTGATGGGGAGAACAGGGCGAGGCCACCATCAGCGGTTCAGGAAGAAGGACTTGAGGGTCTGGAAGAAAACGGACTTCTGTCTCTGCTTCTGTTTCTTCTTGATGATGGGCACCCACACCAGCCCGCACACCAGCATCATGAGTCCCAGGGACAGGAAGGCAGGCCCTATCATCTTAAGGACCTTAAGGCTGTTGTCACCCAGCTTTAGGGTATAGGCCAAGCAGGTGATGACCACACCAAAGAGGAGGATGGCGCCACCCACCGACATGATGATGATGGGTTTGCGGTAGATTTCCCAGTTACTCCGGGGCGAGGTGGTGGTCCAGACAGACTCACTTCTGGAGCTGATGCACAGGGAGCTGGCAGTCTGGCTGGGCAGCAGGTCCTTGGATTCTGGAGACTTCTCGTCGACCTCCAGGGCCTTGGGGAGAGCCTCCATTGTCATGGCTCCTCTAGACAGGGCACCCAGTACCCACAACAGCTAGAAGCAAGGGTGAAGCCGGGGGGAGTCCTCACACACCCTTCCTGTTCCCAGCATCCGTCTCCAGCCTGGCTCTCAGCAGAGGGCGATACTGGGTTCCGTGCTAAAGCCAAACAGAAAGATGAGATCCACATAAATAAGAAACCACTCCCTGGCATGGCATTTTTTTTTTTTCCTTGTGAGAGATAAATACTATAGGATTCTAATCAATTGCTTTTAGGATTTAAAACAGGGAACAGTGTGAAGCCTGGGTGGCTCAGTGGTTGAGCATCTGCCTTTGGCTCAGGGCATGACCTCGGAGTCCTGGGATCGAGTCCCACATCAGGCTCCTCGCAGGGAGCTGAGCCTGCTTCTCCCTCTGCCTGTGTCTCTGTGTCTCTCGTGAATAAATAAATTTAAAAAAAAAAAAACAGGGAACAGTGGTACCCCTTAAAAAAAAAGCCAAAGCCGTGGTTTATTGAATGGAATCTTATTTTCGGACTCAACCACTTTCTCACTGTGTGACCTTCAGTGAGCGACTTAATGTCTCTGTGCCTCAGTCTTCCCATCAATAAAATAGAGATAACAATACTATTCATCTCATAGGATTCTCAAAGGATTAATTGAGTTAAGACATGTAATGTGCTGGAATGATGCATACATTGCATTTTGCAAATGCTTCGTAAATGGTATCATTTGCCAATCACAGAGTGAGGAGCAGCCAGAGGTTTGATATGAACCTGTTCTGCTCTTGCTCTTAAAACACCAGACTACATGTGGGCTAGAGAACATCTTTCTGTGCAGCCTGGGCTTGTATACATTTTTCCAAGACAGGACAGCTATGTTCCAGGTTCCGAGTGTGATCTTTTCACATCTAAATGCCCCCTTTCCCCATCCTTTTTGTGAATGACATCAAGTCAGATTCCTTCCTTCCCATTCTCAGGCCTAAAAAGGTGTGAAGTCTAGCCAACCACCTGTTCCGATTTCTCATCCAGAGCCCTTGTGTGTACCCCGAGGTCACCAGATCCCACTCCTCCCCCAGTCCCCACACAGGGGAGGCAGCCGGTCACCTGTGCAGAGCACCTCCAGAGCTTCTGAGTGGCACCACTTACCTGCCAAATCCTCCTCCTCCCAAACCATGCTAGCTCAGATTCCTTTACCTTGGGGTTAAAACCTTTCATTACATAATCAAATATTGGGGTTTGAGGGCCAACACCTATATATTTACAATGAGGCAAAAAGATATGAAAGACGGAATTTAGAAACTTTGCTGGTATTGGGTCCTTTTTTGTGTGTGGGAGGAAGGGGAGGCTGAGAGAGCCCAGGTATGCATCCTGGAGGTCCTTGCCGAGTCACCGCCCTAATTCATCGCCCTTGACCTGTCTCCAGAGGGTCTGGGGCTATGGTTCGTACCCTAGAGATGCTGCATCCCTTTCCATCCCTTTCAGTGAGTAAGTGACACTCTACGACAGAGAAACAGGAGCACGGTTGTAAGTTTTTTCATAGTTTTACATTTACTCAATTTAAAGGACAATTCCATTCTGAGATTATGTTCTTCTTTCTTTTTCTTTTGGCAGTGGAATATTCCTCATTTTATGAAATGACCATGATGGAAAGAGGATTATTGGCTTTGTTAGTATCTGTACTCGGCAATATAGAGGTTGGTCATTTTATGTGGATATCTATGTATCTATCTATCATCTACCATCCTCTATCATCTATCTATCTATCTATCTATCTATCTATCTATCTATCTAAACTGTAATGGCCCATGCAATCTCAAAGAATGGGAACCTTTCATTTAGTTGACTTAAGAGGGCTGGGTCTTGGCCCAATGACAGGGCAAGAAGGGCTTCATTTTCTAGGCAGCAACCAAAGGAGAAGCAAGGGTGAGCCCTGTGACTTTTCTTCCTCCTCCCATCCCCTGCTGGCCAGGCAGGAGGCCGGAGTGACTGTAGACAGAGGGGCAGGAGGTCAGGCATGAAATGAACCCTGCACTGGGCAAAATCACTCCTTCACAATTCCAGCAAGTCACCGAGCTTATTCTAGGTGTCTGTGTGATGATGGGGAGGTTCAGGTCCCTGACATCAGAGGGACCACCACTTGACACCAGTTTACTAAAGCCGTGGGAACCTGGGCTGCTTACTTAACTCCCTGAGACTTACTAGCCCCACACCTAAACCAGGACAATGGAATATCTGCCCCATTGGGCTATGGGAATGGTCACACCCTACAAACACTGCTGCCCTGTGTGACATATGATGGGTGGTCCAGACCCGGCTGTTATAATTCACATAGAGAGAGGCAGAGACACAGGCAGAGGGAGAAGCAAGCTCCCCTGTGTGGAACCCAATGAGGGATTTGATCCCACTACCCTGGGATCAGTCCCTGAGCAGAAGGCAGATGCTCAACCACTTAGCCACCCAGGTGCTTCTGGGCTAAGGGGCTTCTAAAACTATCTTACATCAGTCCTCCAGTGACTCAGACTTGAATTCTGAGAATTAAAGTCTCCTGAAAAATCACTGACTCAGGGATGATAGGAGGTTCATCACACTTTATTAAAGTCCTAAAAGATTCTCTCTCTCTTTTTTTGATATCAGGGTTTCTCAACGGTAGCACATTGGGGGGGGGGCATGATTTTGTTATAGGGAGGCAATCCTATGCATTGTACGGTATTTAGTTAATGGCCCTGACCTTTACCCACCAGATGCCAGTAGCACCACCACATCTGGTCATGATGATCAAAAATATCTCTGGCAATTGCCAGATGTCCCCTGTGTGTGGTGAGGGTGGGGAACTAATCTGGTGTGTAGACTGCCACCTCATAGCAGCCTTTCCCTTTCTCCTAGCTTGCAAACTGCCTGAGGGCCAAGGCTGAGTTTACTCATCCGCCATGAGGAGGGGGCCCCCTAGCCTGGCCCTTAGCAGCTGCTCCAAGGACTTGGCCTCACTGCTGCAGCTCTCTGAGGACCCAGAGAGCAGATGGGGAGCCAGCCAGGTGAGGGCAACCACATGTTCAGGTTTGAATTAAGTTCTTTGCGGTTTGGTTTGTATGTCTCAGAGGATCCCTCACTCCCTGCAGTGGGCTGACTTGTCCACCCAGAATCTCAGAATGTGACTTTATTTGGATTAAAGGTCTTTGCAAATATAATTAAGGCAGGGGTCTCCAGACAAGGTCATCCCCAAATACCAGTCCAATGACTATGGGCTCCATACAGAGGTAAGCCATGGTGAAGACAGACCCAGGGGTCAAAGCAATGCCTCTGCAAGCCAAGGAAAGTCAAGGGTTGCCAGCAACGGCAAGAAACTAGGAAAGAGACATGGCCTAGATTCTCCACCAGACCCTCCAGAAGGAACTAGATCTAACTGCACCTTGATTTTGGACTCTGACCTCCCAAATAAACTTGTGAGAATAAACTTCCATTGTTTTAAGTGACTGCATTTGTGGTAATTCGTTACAACAGCCCTAAAAAATGAACACACCTGACTTTCTTTGAAGTCTTTGACACCTTAGAGGTGGACAAGTACTGAGGCCCCAGAGGCTGGGCTTATAGGGGAGAGACAGGAAGGAAGGCTGGAGGGCAAGGCCTCCTGGACTCACCACAGATTTGAATATGGGCTTGGCCCCCAGGGCAGCCATTTGAGAAGAGAGGATGAATTGCTCTCCACGGAGGCCACACTTTTGGAGGGTCAGGAGGCACATTTAGAGGGGGGAGACGGTAGCCCACACCTGAGGTTGGGTAGGCCATGGGCTGGTTGCCAAGATAGCACACTGGTCTGGGCCAATTGGTCATGAGAAGAAGCAGGAACGACCCCAAGCCTGAATGTGAGCGGACCTCCAAACATGACCAAGAGAAGCCAGGCACACTTCCATTTACATAAAATGAGATTCTATTTACATAAAATTCAAAATCTGTGCTATTTGCAGGGAGGATAGTGGTTACCTTTGGTGGGGGTGGTGGATGGGGAACGCACTGGAAACTTCTGGGAGTGCTCTAATGTTCTGATTCTTGAGCTGGCTACAGCTGGTTACATGGGTGTGTCCTATCCATGCTGTATGGTCGTGATAAGACTACTTTTCTGCGTGTAGGTTAAACAACAATAAAATGTTTAAACAAAGATAATTAAAAGGTATAACTAAATGCAACATGTTCTTTTTTTTTGGATTCTGACTAGAACAGACCAATTGTACAAAAACATTCTGGGATCATTTTAAGGAAGGCTGAATTTGGATTGGGTGTCAGATGATGCTAAGAATTTAACATTTGTATTTGGTATGATAATGATATTACGGACACAGAAGAAAACGTCTTAAAGGTAATGGAGCTACATCTTGAAATAACATCCAGGAAAGAAGTGCCATGATGCTGTGATTCACATGAAAACATCAGATTCCAGGGCTGCCCAGGTGGCTCAGCAGTTTAGCGCCAGCTTCAGCCCAGGGCCTGATCCCGGAGACCCAGGCTCGAGTCCCACGTCGGGGTCCCTGCATGGAGCCTGCTTCTCCCTCTGCCTGCGTCTCTGCCTCTCTCTCTCTCTCTGTTTCTCATGAATAAATAAAATATTAAAAAAAATCAGATTCCAGATACATATGACAAAAAGCTCAATAGTATTAAATCCAGATGGTGGATCTCTTGGAAGTTCATTATGATCACTAACTCTATTTTTATGAATGTCTGCAAATGCTTATAATAATGGGAAACTGAATATACAGACAGACAATGGCCGGACCATGTCTAAAGCCAGAACTCTGGGGTGCCTGGGTGGCTCAGGGATTGAGCATCTGCCTTCGGCTCAGGGCGTGATCCTGGGGTCCTGGGATCCAGTCCTGCATTGGGCTCCCCGCAGGGAGCCTGTTTCTCCCTCTGCCTATGTCTCCGCCTCTCTCTGTGTGTGTCTCACAGATAAAAAAATAAAATCTTAAAAAAAAAAATTAAAGCCAGAACTCCTAGGGGCGCCTGGCAAGCTCAGTGGAGCATGCAACT